CAAGCAAATGTTTGTGCTTGTTTCTGTATGATATAATTGTTCATATATCTATTAAAATACTGATATTCTGGGCTATAACTCTTCCCCGAACTTCCCGCTGCCCTGTATCTTGGTCTCTCATTGGCTGTAGGTCATCGCCGTTGTGTTTTTCAGTCAGAACTCATTGAACACAGCGTGATTGTGAATCGCCGGCACCCGCGAAATATTTGGCATGCTAAATATCTGGAGCTGGCGGCGATTCACAATCACGCAGTGTGCAATGATTTCTAAAGGCGGGCGTACACGGTGCGATTCTAAAGGTCGGAACGTCTTGAGCTCTGGCACGTCACGATTGAGTTTATCCGAAAATCGTACGGAGGCAATCACATACGACACGAAATTACTATGATTTTACAAACTGTGACGTAAGCATTACGTTTCGCGCCATTCATGGATTCTGAGGACGAAATAGTTTTCTTTGTGGCAGGTGGCTTGTGATGTCCAAAAAATACAACCGGAAATACAACAGGCATATTCATTCATAAACGGTACGAGCCGCGACCATGCGAGCATCTGCGATTTTCTCCCTATGACATGAAAAAATCGCACCGTGGACGCCCGCCTTTGCCTGTGAAAGCGAACCGCACCAAGAATAAAAATCAACATTGTAATAATTTTAATTCCTGTTTCGGAACAAAGCAATCGATCTACAGGTGTGAAAGCACCCAAAATTAATGACTATGGCATGACATGGAATATTCCCTAAATTTAAAGGAATATTCTGGGTTGAGTACAAGTTAAGATAAATTAACAGCATTTGAGGCATAATATTGATTACCTCAAAAATAATTTTGATGTATCCCCAAGTGAATGAAAACGGAAATTCTGTCATGATGTTCTACATGATTTTGTATAATGGTAATAATGTCACTGTAAAATAAAAATGTAGTATAAGAAAAATATAATTTATTTTTAGTACTACTGTAATTTTACAATGCTAATGTTTATGCTGTCTTCATTTCTTCATTTTTTAAACATTCTTCAAAATATTTTTTGTGTTCTGAGGAGGAAAGACAGTCATATTTTGGGATGACATGAGCATGAGTAAATAAGTACATTTTTGGGTAAACTACCCCTTTAAAAAATGCAAAAATCAAAGTGGTGGTGAGTCTTTCTCTACATTGTCAGACATTTTTTAAAGAATTTACAAGAAGCAGCTTACCATTTATAAAAGCATTTACTATAAAGCTATTTAAATCAGTTTCACAGGGTTTTAGGGCTTGTGGCAAAGTGTGTACAATCTGTAGAACCTAGGCTAGCAATGTTGACAAATGATATTGAACCCAGAATATTCCTTCTAAGAGATATTTTTGTCAAAAGGCAAACACTATTACTAAAAGAAGTCATGGTAGGGAGTGATGGAAGAGAGAATCTCCCCAGTGCTGCATCATGTTGTCTGTGTTCATCTCCAGCGACTGTGCAGGAACCTGGGGTGTCTGTGTGGCCCTGTACATGTTAATGGATGATGCTGCTGTTACTCACATCCCCTCTGGTCCTCCTCACGTACTCCTCTCTGCAAAAGAGGCCAGTATTTGGTTGTCTGTGTAGTAGTAAATCAACCCTAGCTGTTCCATTAACTGGATTTGTGGGTGGTCTAATACCCATGAGTAATATCTTAAACAAAGCTTTTTAGCCTTGTAGCTCATTTTGGGAATGTGTGTATTTGTGTGTGTCTGGTTAGAGTGCCACGGGTCATGACTATATTTGAACCGGTCAGAGCTTGCACTTTGAGCTCAGACTCGTATCCGAAAGCTGGTTTGCAAAAATAGGCTATTGGATGAAACACAGGTCATTGGGTTTGTACACCAGGCAGTGGCTGTAACAGGCACAGTATTGTAAATCCTTCCATTTTGGGTTGCCTAGCAACCTTGCCCAAAAAGTTGCCCCATGTATCATCACATTAAGACTCCATGTTTTCTTATCTTGCAATTCAGGTTTGCGATTCCCCTGCCTGTTGCTTTGGATTATTGTGTGGTTTTAGTGAGTTTAAGCATCTCTTCAGTGTTACTTCCAGTTTCAGCATTACTGAATTATTTTACCTCATATTGCATCAGCACTGTTTGTGATAGCAAACTAGTCAGTCTGGAGTAAAAAGACTTGCATGTGTGCACACCTGGAATACGCTCATGATTGAGAATGTGAGTCCCCTTCCTCTGTAGAATATTTTTTTAAACTTACTTTCTTGCATGCAACTCAAATAAATATTTAGCTAGATGTCCTACCTGCTCCTTTGCAAATAATCTCATAAAATCTCATAATCGCCTCTTGGTTTCCAGCAAGAAAGTCTCAAAGTTACCTGTATAAATACTTGCTTTCCATGCATTTGTAAATTACTTTATGAATTAATTGTAAATTGTGCATACTTTTTACATATGTTAATAAAAAGTGCAAGTGTTTGTAATTTTTGGCTAATTACTGTTAATTGGATAATTAAGTTACCCTACCAGAGAAAACATGTAAATGGTTTAACATCACATTATATTTGTCTTTGTGTGTATGACGCTGTGCATCGTCTATATACAAATATTGGCCATTTACGGTGAACTCTGATCCATCATGTGTTTTTCTATTGTGTCACCTGTATTACTGTAGTGGTTTTCAGGACATTTTAAGGTAAAAAACGGATGTTGGTACTTTAGGTAGCTTGATATGTTAACATTATATCACTTAATTAAATACGATTATGATCGAAATACGAAGTTCTAAAATATATGAGCAGAAATATGCCCTCCTGTAAAACCTAAATCATTGTCACAGTACAGTGAATTTCTGGCATATTACTGCTATTTTTTTAAACTGTAAACTTAGTTAAACTGTAAATTATTATTATATGACAGTTTAATACAGATACCCCCACTTTTATTTCAAATGAATTGATTGTTGTTCATAATTCTTGTCTCATCATGCATGCATATGATTTTTAGCTCTGTGACTGTGCTGATTTAACAGTCATCTCTCTTGTTTTCCAGCCCCCAGAGTGTGCCATGCTTTAGCTGTGTCTCTCTGGTGGTTTGATAGATAAGATGTAGGTTAGGGGCAATGCTCTCCTGTGGGGTCTCTCGCTCTCTGTGGGGAGAGATTCTCTCACCAGCTGACACTTCAAGGGATTCGCAATCTTCTCACCCACATCCCAAGAGAAACTCCTGTCTCGGCGAGACATGGGGAAGAGAGATAGTATCTCTGTCAGGCAGACTGAGAGTGGTTTTAGTGTTTGGATTAGGGTGGATGGATTCATATAGTTATGAATATGATGATAAAAAACTGATTTATTTAGCTGTCAAGTTTGACTTTGACATTCAGTGTAATGCATTTAATCTAAAGGCTTGTAGTGTACATGGACTATTTGTCAGGGAAAATACAGATTCAGTTTGCAGGTAACAGAAAAAGTTTATTACGCTCTCACTGAGCAATAGGGGAAAAAATCAACAGAAACACAAAAATAGAGGAAGTCCCAAATCAAAGTCCACAGGACCAGGAAAGAGCCTCTCAGCAGGGACTGATCCTAGCGTCATCCGTGACGCAGCGTCAAAGTTGCACTGACCGGAGCGTCGTTCGTGACGCAGCGTTGAGGACTCACTGAGCTCCCCGATGAGAGCGTTTAGCGTGCAGGGAGGGGCTAGGGCGATGTCTCAGAATCTCGACAGAGCTAGAGATAGCCAGGGCAGGTAGTAGAACAGATCTCGACTGGCGGGATGAGAAGTTCAAAAACAAAACAGCACTCAGGGCTAAAAAGACACAACACGGGCCACCAGGCGCAACCGGGAGGGGCTCACCTCGTCGCCGGCGGAAGTCATCAATCAGAGTCTGGTCCAGAATATCCCGAGCCGGAATCCAACTCCTTTCCTCAAACAACCGACCCCCTGGACACCCCCTTGGGAACTCCAACTGTTTCTTATAGTGATGTCATTAAGGCCCCGGTAGTCAATGCAGGGTCGCAGGGAGCCATCCTTCTTAACGGATGAGGCCGGCATTTAAGGATTCCTGAATATACTTGTCCATGGCCTCCCTCTCAGGACCGGATAGGGAATACAGACGACCCTTGGGCGGAGAAGTGCCTGGGAGGAGATTGATGGCACAGTCATGGTTATGCTGCACCAGCCACGGGTGCCCTAGGACAACGGGAGCACCCGGGGAATCTAGGAGGTACAGCTCAATAACCTCACGGTGATTGCCAGAGACAATAAGACTTACGGAAGGAATGGAATGGGTAATGGAGGAGATGAGGACACCATTAAGGGAGCGGACAGAGATAGGAGAGGGAAGTGGAATGGCAGGAATACCCCACAATGCAGCAACAGAGGCATCCAGTAAGTTGCCTTCGGCACCTGAGTCAACCAGTACAGAACAGGGATGGAAGGTGTCCTTATACTGAACAGAGACTTTGAGCAGTTTTCTGTTGTCTAATTCTGTCCTAGTGTTATAGTAGTATTATTTATATAGTATAAAAGTATATATATATATATATATATATATATATAACAGTTAAGTTTTAGATTTAATTAACCACACTGAATGTAAGGTAAAGGATAAAGTTGCGATCCTTATGGATTGTATGCTTTTTCCAAAATCTCTTCATCTCTCCCAGCTGTTTCCCAGCTTCCCTTTCATCTTTTTTCTCTCGGTTACTGCTGAGTTATGGGGCGATACAGCTTTAAATGAAATGAAACTCCATTGTTTCAATGTTTCCTTAATTGCCCCCTCCACCAAATGTCATTATGGAAAAATCTGGCATCAGCTGCAGGGCTCTTCAAAAAGAAATAAACTAGATGTATAGTCTATTTGATTCTCTTGCCAGGGTCTTAAAACCACACACAGTCTTGTTTACTGTGGGGAGGAAGGGCATCATTGCCTTCATTCACAGACTTAACAACTAAAAAAAGTACTGATGCACAAACAAGGCCAACAGGATGTAAAATGTAGAGACTTGAGGGCCTGTTAACCTCATTTTTACAATGGAAATTTAAACACATTCATCTATAATATTTGTTCCTACTTCTAAAACCGTCACATCCTCCTTAATCTCTCTCCTAATGTCTCTTTCTCTCTCTCCACGTCTCCAGAAGAACACAGCAGGAGGAGTAACATTGTGGAAAATGACATTATGTGGAGTAAAGTGTCTATAATTTCGATGTGGATATGGTTGAATGAGCTCTGTCTTAAGCATGTATTTTATGCTAATATGGAGATTACCTCTTTAATTGCTTTTATAACACTCACTGCATATTACTGGAGTTTTAGACTTGAATGGAACTGAAGCAATGTTGAAGGTGGATTATAATATGATGATACAGGTCAAAACGAATGAATACACTGCTTCGTAACTGGTATTTATCACTCACAGATGTAAGGTGTATAGGAATACATGTATGTGTGTGTCTGGGTGTTATGTGTATGTTGTGTGAACATAAATGCTTTAGCGATGCATGATGTATTGGTACCATATATATCACACCACAGTTTTCAGCCAATGTTACAGATTTCTTTTGATTTTGCTCACTAAGGTTGCATTTATTTAACTAAAAACAAATAAACAGTAAAACTATAATATTGTGTGAAGTTATTACTGTTAAAAATAACTCTTTACTATTTTAATGTATTTTAAAATGTCATTTATTCACATGATGTCAAAGCTGAATTTTCAGCATCATTTCTCCAGTCTTCAGTGTCACATGATCCTTCAGAATGCTAATTTGATGCTCAAGAAAAAATTCTTATTATTATCAATGTTGAAAACAGTTGTGCTGCTTAATATTTGACCCTGGACCACAAAACCAGTCTTAAGTGTCAATTTTTAAAAATTGAGATTTATACATCTGAATAAATAAGCTTTCCATTGATGTATGGTTTGTTAGGATAGGACAATATTTGGCTGAGATACAACTATTTGAAAATCTGGAATCTGAGGGTGCAAAAAAATCAAAATATTGAGAAAATCGCCTTTAAAGTTATCCAAATTAAGTTCTTAGCAATGCATGTTACTAATCAAAAATTAAGTTCTGATATATTTACGATAGGAAATTTACAAAATATCTTCATGGAACATGATCTTTACTTAATATCCTAATGATTTTTGGCATAAAAGAAAAATCTATAACCCATACAATGTATTTTTGGCTATTGCTACAAATATACCCCAGCGACTTAAGACTGGTTTTGTGCTCCAGGGTCACATATTATTGTAAAAACCGATACATTTTTTTCAGTATTCTTTGAAAGTTTAAAAGAACAGCATTCATTTGAAATTGAACTCTTTTGTAATATTATAAAATGTACTGTCTCTTTTGATCAATTTAATGCATCTTTGCTGGGGAAAAAATCTTACCAAAAATCTTATGAAAGCGTAAACTTTCACAAAATTATATTATATGTTTAGGTGCTTGGATCAACAGGTATGTTAGTTGTAAGTTGTATGTAAGTTGTCCTTTAGCAATATTACAGTTATGTTATTACAGTGACAGTCCTTCTGGAGAAACCTGAGATTAACATACTTTCCTAAACATCAAGATAAGTGTTTCCAAATTGAAAGTGAAAATGCTGTACAGCACAGTCTCAAGGCGGGCGTACACGGTGCGATTTTTGCTGTCGTACTAGCTCGCAGGCGATTTTTTTCTCTCGGGAGAAAATCGCAGATGCTCGCATGGTCGCGGCTCATACCGTGTGAAGAAAGTCCATGCTTTTCTCTGCTTTTCAGCCATTCTCTTTGCCATGTCCTTTGTCTTCGTTTTTTTTTTTTTGGACGTCACAAGCCGCCTGCCACAAAGAAAACTATTTCGTCCTCAGAATCCATATTTTTATGAATGGCGCGAAACGTAATGCTTACGTCAGAGTTTGTAAAATCGTGGTAAATTCGTGTCGTGTGTGACTGCCTCCGTACGATTTTCGGATAAACTCAATCGTGACGTGCCAGAGCTCACGACGTTCCGACCTTCAGAATCGCACCGTGTACGCCCGCCTTCAGTCATTCAGAACATATGTTTGTTACAGCAAGACTACCAGGCATGATGCTGCAGAAAAGTGTAAAAGAGTACATTCAACCAGACTCGACAGGTGAACCCTCCCTTTTTGTCCATTTCACCTTAACTAGAAGACAGTCATGTGGCATCCCTCCCTGTTCCCATCTCAGAACCCAGGAGCTGCTGTGATGGAGTGAGGGGAGGGGGCCTTCTGCTGTGATTGAGGTTGTGCAGCTGGCGTCTTCGTCTTTGCCCGAGTAAAAAGCCATCAGAGTATTAACCTTGTGAAATAAATCAGGAGATGCAGGCAGACAGGATGAATAGCACTGCGTGAATATAGGCTGTCATGTGAAAAGCGAAATGAACAATGTCCGTGCCGCCGAGGGGCCGTCTGAATGCTGTTGCTGCACTATTGTGTCACACATAATGGACAAAGCTACATCAGGGCTTCGTTGCGATTTCAGCTATTTTGACTGCTTTTTTTCTTTTACGTTCTGGATCACCTTTAAAAGCCAGAGCGGTACAATGTAGGTAGGCTCGTTCATGATTAGACACGCACTCCAATAGTGTTGGAGAGTGAATTTGAGAAAGAAAGTGGAAGCGATAGAGAGGGAGGGTTGGGAAGGGTGAGAACTTGATTGATTTGGATCCTTTTGACCTATTTCAGTAGTGGTTAATGGTGCTGCTTTAAACCAGAGAGTAAAGGAAAACACCTGTTCTTCTTTCAATACACTCTTTCCTCTCTGCTAGGTGCACCATAACAGGTTTTAGAAAAGAACTTGGATTGGAGGCACCTGGTTAGGGAGAGAGCAGCACCTCTCCTGGCTATTGCTGAAATGATGACACTTGTTCCGCTAAAAATTACACACTAAAAAATGCTGGGTTAAATACAACCCAGTGCTGGGTAAAATAGGGACAAACCCAGCAATTGGGTTGTTTTGACCCAGCGGTTGGGTTACTACCCAGAAGGTTGGGTTAAACATTTAACCCAACCGCTGGGTCAAAACAGCCCAATTGCTGGGTTTGTCCCTGTTTTACCCAGCACTGGGTTGTATTTAACCCAGCATTTTTTAGAGTGTAGGATCTCTTTCTAATCTTTATACCTTGTATAAATACTGCCAGGGAAAAAAAGGAAAATACAAAAAATGGAAAAGCAAAAAGACAGTTCTATGTGAGTTAAAGGGATAGTTCAACCAAAACGGCAAAAGATGCTTTGAAGAATGTGCGTAACCAAACAGTTTCTGGTCCCCATTGACTTCCATATAGTGTAGTCAAAGGGGACCAGCAACTGTTTGGTTATTCACATTTTTCAAAATTTCTTCTTTTATGTTCAGAAGAGAGAAAGTCGTAGAGGTTTTGAACAAGTTGAGGGTGAATAAATGACTGAATTTTCATTTTTGATGGAACTGTACCTTTAAGGCTTGACCCACATATATAGTAGTAC